TATTATGTGGCTTTGATAGTTAGAACATTCTCCTTTATTTGAGCTAAAACCAGCCTTCCTCTCTTCCACCCATCAACCATGCACTGCCCTCCAGCATGTAAACGAAACCTTTTCCAAGTAACCCTTCCCATGCCTGGCTTGTTCAGCAAGATCCGAGAGCAGCTGCATAAAGGAAACCTCCCAACTGGACAAAAAGCCGGCGGCGAGAAGGAAAGAGCAGGTACTGGGCTGAAGCCATCCACAGGCTCGGCTTCTCTGGTGTCTCTGTGCTTGGTCAGCACGGCAGGGTGGGCCTCGGCAGGACTCAAGGGAGCATCGAGGGGAAGGGTTGATGCTTGGAGCATAGGGCCTAGGGCTGCCTGGGAAGAGAAGCTGGAAGGAAACCCACAGAAGCCAAATAGAGCTTCTGAAGGCCAAGGCTGGTGGAACCCCAATGGAGTGTTATCAGATCAGCTGGTGATTTTGCTCCATGGCTGCATGATGGTCACACTGTGAGAGTTTCAGGTGAAAGGGATTATGGGAAGAACGCAGTTGCTAAGGATGCAGGCTTTCTTTAAAAGAGGAACATGCCGGGACCAAAAAGAAGAGAAAATATCTGCCAGCTTACCATTGGTTTAGCCTGACATTTTTCTTAGTGGATGAAAGAAAACAAATACTCCTCTCAATTGGTTTTCCAATGGCTCATCTTTCAATAAGCACGCCCCCCACCCCAGGTCTGGATGAAATGAGGAGGGAAAGGGGGTGGGGAGGCGGTGGCTGCTCACAGCTCTTCCCAGGCTGGTGGCACGAGTGTAGACTGTGGTGGTCAAGTCTGGGGCGAGCGAGGGTTGTGTGTCACAGAGGAGCTCCTGCTGGGACCAACTGCCCAAGGCCTTCCACTGGGAGAGATTTTGGTAAAGCACGGGAGTTTGGTCTGCCCCGTGAAAGCCTGTGGCCGCTGGGACAGATCACATGCAATGCAACCAGAATGTCAGGCAACCAGCTGCCTGGCTTTCTCACGACATGGGACAGTTCCCTTGCAGATGGACTTTGGCAAATCTGCACAGTCCTGTCAGGAGGGGTCTATGACTGTGGAAGAGAAAAATGGAAACAGAGAAATAGCTGAGCAGTGGGGGTGAGGACTTGACCTCTGAGCAGAGGAAAGAATTCTAGGCTTTGTTCACCAAATGGGAAACTTCTCAGCTTCCCGGTCAGAAATGAAGCCACTGATCCTTCAGTTCGAGGCCCCAGGCTGGTTACGGCAGAGGTGAGCCTTGTGCTCTGGCAACTAGGGAAGACACTTAGCTCTGCCTCTGAATGGCAGGTCAACTACCTGAGTTGAGCCTCAGTGTCCTTGTCAGTGAAGTGGGTTCGCAATTCATCCCCTGCCCCCGCTCTGGGCTATCGTGACTGCTGATGAGCTCATACCTACGGATACACCTGCTCAACACCAAAGCACCCCGTTGGTGTGAGATATTTGTGTCCCGAGGCAGGGAAACAGTCCCACCTACTGTCTTGAGAATGAAAACAGAAAGGCACAGCTGGGCGGAGGTAACAGAAGGCTGGGCGTGTCTCAGCAAGGCTTAGTGGGGCTCTGGGATTGGGCAGTGGGGGGCTGCCCCCTCTGACTTTCCAGGGGTGCTTGATTTGGACAGGCTGGTAGCACCAGGGACCTGGCAGCACTCGGTCACTTGGCCATCTGTTGACTTGGAAAGTAGCAGACAGGAGTTGGGCTGAGAGCTACAGCCATGTCCCACTGCTTGGTGTGCACAGAGCACCGTTAGCAGGTGCCAGGTCCAAGGATGGGGTGATCAGTACATAGCCGTGTTTAAAGGACTGACTGTGGCTTTCTAACATCTTGGGTACAAGGCTCCTGGGGCCATGTGGTACTTCAGAAGGCAGGGGTGGTGACTAAGTTGGCAGGCTGGGCCTGGGTCCCCCTGGTGGGGCAGCAGTCAGCCAGGCACACTGCTTCCAGTCCCCCGGGGGCAGGTGCCCTACCGACCAGGCTGGCGTTAGTTATCGGCTCCCCAGGAAGCCCGTGTGCCTGCTGGCCACCCGGGTGCAGGAGGCGCAGCAGGCCGTCTTGTAGTAGGTGTAGACACAGAGGCGTGCCTGCACCACGACGTTGCAGTTGTAGAACTTGTCCTTGCAGTGTTCGTCTGCAGAGGAGAGAACAGAGAAGCCTCTGAGCCCAAGGGGCGGCTGCACCAGCGGGAAGAGAAAGGGCGATGGACCTGGCTTTTCATCCTGGACTGCCACGGGAGGTGTGGGCGTGTGCTCAGAGCTTCCCTGGCTTTCTTTAAATGTTACAATGACTGCCGGAGGGGCTCAAGTGGCAGAGCACCTGCTTAGCAAGCGTGAGACCCTGAGTTCAAAACCCAGTACTGCCAAAAAAAAAAAAAAAAAACCAAACAAAAAAAACCAGATACATACTGCATGCCTTCCTTGGCCACCTGTTCAACACTGAATTTAAGCAATTCATTCCTATTTAATGAATGATCTGCCTAGTTCATTTTCATTTTTGGATAGCATATCCTGGCAGATATGTTCTACAATTTATTTGTCCATTTTCCACTGATAGACACTTAAGTAGTTTGTAATTTTCTTTTCTATTGTAACCGTTAAGCGGTTTTGTCGCAATCCTGCTGTCACTTTTCAAATATGATCCCTTCACTTTCTCCGCTAGTGGCACTGTTCGGATTCCGCTTGGCGAAGAGCACACAGCTCCATTTTTTTTTTTTTTTGGCCATGTTACATTTTTTTTTCTGAACTAGTAAATGTAAACATCTCCACGCAAGGCTGAGCCTGCCATCACACAGACACAGTTGTCACTCAGGTTTCCTTTTCTGTGAGCACTTTTCCTATCTTTGCCTATTTTCTATTTAGCTAAGTTTTTTTTTTAAAGATTCATGGAAACTCTTTTCACGTAATAGGACCAAATCTTTCTGAATTGCTGTGTTACAAGTGTCTTCTCCAAGCCTGTGGCTTGTCTGTGGTAGTGTTTGATAAGCAGAGACTTAATATCTTAATGTAACTGACATTGTTATATTTTCCTTTGTGGTACATTGTGACATTTACAAATGTGCTTACAATGTATCTTAGAGTTACTCTCCATCGCTCTCCTTCATTCCTCCTCCTCCCTTCTTAGAGCAATTTCAACAGGTTTCACTGTTCTGCTTTCACATATGAATATAAAACACACCCACCATAAGCTCCCTCCTTCACCCTCCCAGTGTACTCACAACCAGTCAGGACCTATTTTACCTTCTGTACTTCTTTTTTTTTTTAAAGCATTTTTGTTAGTATATGAGGAATTTTGGTTTTTCATTAAGAAATTCTTCCCTACTCTGAATTAAAAAATAAGCTCCCTCATAGTCTCTTCTAAAAGTTTAAATCATGGCATTTATTTGCCCAACCCACTGGTGTGTGTGTGTGTTACAAAATCAGTTTCACTGTTTTTTGCAAATATATTGTCTCGTGATCACTTCACAGCTCGTATTTCCCCTCAGATTCACAATGCTAACTCCACACACGAGGCAAGTGATTTTTTTTTTTGGACTCTCTATTCTGTCCTGCTAGTTTATTGGCTTCTCCGGTGCCAGCCTACTTTGATAAATGGTAGATAAGCCCCCAACATTTTTCACTATCAAAACTGTCCTGGAGCCAGGTGCCGGTGGCTCACGCCTGTCATCCTAGCTACTCAGGAGGCAGAGATCAGGAGGTTCGAAGCCAGCTCAGGCAAGTAGTTCATGAGACCCTGTCTTGAAAATACTCATCACAAAAAAGGGCTGGTGGAGTGGCTCAAGGTGAAGGCCTTGAGTTCAAAATCCAGTACCACAAGAAAACAAAAACAACAGCAAAAAAACCCCTGTCCTGGCAGGTCTTGGTTCATTGCTCATGTTCTTCTAAATAAACTTCACACTCAGTTTATCAGATTTTTCTGTGGAAAACCCTGTGTGGATTTTGACTAATGTTGTTTGAGTGGACAGATTAATTTGGGAAAGGATTGACAATATGCATATCAGCTGCTTGCTTTATTTTACACTACTTGAAAATATAGAGAGAGACTTTTTTTTGGTGGTGCTGGAGTTTGAACTCAGGGCCTCCCACTTGCTAGGCGAGCGCTCCACCACTTGAGCTGTGTTCTCAGCCCTAGCTACATTTTGATTCACAGCGTGTACCAGTCTTTTCCAGAGCACAAGTGTTATAATGTAATTTAGCTAATCATTTCTTTTTGTTGATGGACGTGTAATGGCTTTCAATTTTGTGAATGCCAAGAAACTATATCACGTCATATCATATCATATCATATCATGTCGTATCATATCATATCATGTCATATCATATCATATCTCACATGCTATATCACGTTACTTATTGGGTGCTGGGGGTCAAAGCCATGCTTCACGTTTGCTAAGCACGACTCTACCACTGAGCTACACTTCCAGCCCCTCCTCATTTATTCATCTGTGCAGTTTACTGAGACCCGTTCTTTGAGCACAGGGGGATTTGTACATTTTGGAAAACATATCTTTAGCATAAATTCCCGGAAGTGGAATGACTGAGTCCATGCAAATGAGCACTGTGTCCTTGACAGATGGTGACAGTGCTCTCCCAAAAGGTCACACCAAGGACAAGTTGGAGCGTGACCTTTCCCTTATAACTTTGTCAACACTGAATATTGTCTAACTTAAATCATTTTTCTAATTTAATGGAAAAATATGGACTTCTATTCTTTTTGAATTTGCACTTCTATTTACTACTGGTTTGAGCATTTCTTTTCAGCCTCTTTTGGTAGATCTGTCTGTATCCCTTGTTCTTTGTAGAAGTGAATTGCTTGCCTTTTTTGTGAAGTTAATTTGAGAGAGCTCTGTGTGTATTAGGGGTTTAATTCCTTGTTTACTAGAATGGCATTTATTTCATTCTAAGATGCTATCAGTTGTAAGATGATTTTGTAATTCTGTCTTTCCACGTAGGGTTTTGCACTTTTGCCCTGCCAGCCTCAGACTGTGATGCTCCTACCTCTGCCTCCTGAGTAGCTGGGATTACAGGTGTGCGCCACCACTCTGCATAACTCTAGTTTTGACGGCATAATTTTGAAGCTTATCAAAGAATACCAAAGTTTGTCGACATTTCTATTTTGCTAATCTTGTCATTTCAACTCCCTCCCTTAATTGAATCTTATATAATTGGAAGCTAAACAATTTCCTTCCCGAAAAGACCATAGATAAATATAGACAAGCCAGTCAGAGTGGTAACAAAACCTCACCTCACGTCTTATTACTTGGAAAGCCTCTGACAGGCCTTCAGAGCTACGATTCCTTCTGCAGTCATTTCTCTCTTAGAAACCTACATGGTCAGTGCCAAGGAAGGATGTGACAATCTGTCTCTCCTTTTCTTGTCTGTGTGCCTGAGACGAGCAGGCAACTGCATATACACAACTTTTCTTTTTGACGCTGCATTATCGCACAACCTTAAACAATGCACGGAACAACTGGTGGCCCAAATTTAAGTTCCACCTGGGTGGCGTCACCAGTGAACACGGGCTGTGGAAATCCTATCGGTATTGACCCCTCAGCCTCTTGGCTGACATTGTCGTTGACACTGATTGAAACACGTTTTCCTAAGACGTGCTTCAAATATTTTCTCACCGTCTTTCCTAGTCTCTTCTCTTCCTCTTCCCTTCCTTCCTCCCACCTTGGGCTGCGGTGCCCAGTGTCCTCAGGAGAACAGTTTTTAAAGTAGTAGGGCCTCACAGCCACCAACAAAAGCTCTGGATTTGGGGTAAGCTTTTGAAGTCTTTAAACAACTCAAAGATACATATTTTTTTTCTACATTTTATAGTGTATTTTTTGTTGGGATATTTTTACCTTTCATTTTTATTTTTGGACATACTGATGGGTGATATCTCCATACATGGAATCGCCTGCCCTGACCAAATCCAGCCTCCCTTTATCCTCCCTCCCCGCCTTCCCAGCCCCTGGGCCTCCCATCCTACATCCGGGTCAATGTTCTTAGCTTCTGCATCTGAGCCTGAACACGTGGTGCTGTCCTCCAGCTCCATCCATTTTGCTGCAAGCGACGGGCTCGTTCATTTCCACTGGGCGTCGTTGTGTTATTTGTATGCGGCTTAATTTCATGCGAGACTTGAGGTGTTTTTGAGAACAGGGTTTTGATTGTCTCAATACGAAGGAGGTCGCTCCTTTCCCGATCTTTATCACAGCTGATGCTTCTGGTACGAAGAGCCTGCTTCAGAACTCTGCAGTGCAGCGTCGGTGTGTCTGTCTCTGCCTGTATCAGCACCGACACAGGAAGGCGCAGGAATCTGTATGGCTTGGATACCGTCTGTCCCCAAGCGCACACAAGAGTGCCGTGCTGCTGACAGGAGGGGCCTTGGAAAGTGACTAGGTGTCGAGAAAGTCATCAGAGTGGCATTCCCGCGATTGAATCCTCGTGCAGGACCGAGACCGGAGTCACGGATGTAGATGTGTGTCCTCTGTCTCTTGCCCTGTGTTGCCTCAGGCTTTTGTCATCAGAAAGGCCATCGCTAGAACGGAGCTCATGCTAGGACCACACTCCAGAAACTCCAAAGTGTGCACAAAATAAACCTTTTTTCTTTTCTTTTGTGGCACTGGGGATTGAATCCAGAGCCTACGGCATGCTGGGAAAGTGCTCTACCACTTGAGTTATGCCCCCAGCCCTTTGTTTGTTTTTATTTTGTTTTTGAGATAGAGTCTTGATGCTGGATTATAGATATAAACCTTTTTTCTTTAGAATGTTAGCCTGCCTCGGATATTTCATTACAGAAACAGAAAGCTGATGAGCACATAAGGTAAGCTCTGCTCAGAAACTTATTAGCTTTATAATGTTAAGTTTTTTTGCCCATTCATGTTTCCTTTTTTTTTTTTTTGGCAGTAGTGGGGTTGGAACTCAGGGCCTCATGCTTGCTAGGCAGGCACTCAACCACTTGAGCTACTCCAAAAGCCCTTTTTTTGTGTGTGTGTTGGTTTTTTTTTGAGATGGGGGTCTCGTGATCTATTTGCCCAGGTTGGCCTGGAACCACGATCCTCCTGATCTCTGCCTCCTGAGTAGCTGGGATTACAGGCATGAGTCACCAGCACCTGGATCATGTTTCATCTTATATTCTGTAGCACAGTGGTCTTAGTTTTATACTTTGCTTATTTTTCTATACAGCTCTTATACACATTTTATTAATTTTCTCCTGTGGAATGTACTTTTTATTTTTTGGTTGCTACCAGGAATAATTCCTCCCATAATGATTACTTGTAGGTCAGGCATGGCGGGCACATCAGGAGCTCTTGATGACAGCTCCTACTCTGTAACTGGCACAAATGCCCTGGGATGAGAAGGATGTAGGTCAGTGTAGTGAATCCTCTGATTTGGCGTGACAAGGAGGCTCATTGGAGCCCAGGAGATCATGAAGGATTGTACTCAGGAGCCTGAGCCCCATTCTGTTCCGAGCCAGTCCTGAGCGAGCCGGAAGTGTATTCTGAGTAGACTCCTGCAGCATCCAGCATCTTCCTTCTCTGCCCAGTCCACGTTCAAGGCAGCTTCCTTGGTTTGCTGACCACCAGGACTGGGCCCTTCCTCATGAACACAGCCCACCAGAGGCTCTGACTTCGCTACAGCTCACTGTACCTTCCTGGCTCAGGGTGACAGGTTGGGGACTTCTGAACTGCAGTGTGGCCTGGTGGCCCTGCTGTGCTCTCCCCCTTCTACAGGCTAGTTATGGTGTCCTTTCTCCTCTGGATGGACGCTCCATCTCTGTCTCTTGCCACTCTTGGTCTCTCTCCTTCCTCCCCTCTCAGCCAGCTGCCTCTGAGGTCACAGGGTCACCCTTCAGGGACAAGCTGACACTGGTTTGCATGCACAAACGTTGACATCTGACTACTCTGACCTTATGGATGGATGTCAGAAACGAATCTGTGACTGCATTATCATCATTTTAATCAATTCACACTGAAGTCTGTCTTTCTTGAGTGGCTTGGACAGTCATCCATGCTATGAAGAGTCATCTCTCCTAATGAAACTGATAATATCAAAAGAACCTTGACCCCTAACCTCCAGGACTGTGCACAAGGCCACAAGGAGACCTGGGTAGGCCTGGCATCTCCACACTGGAGAACCCAACAGAGCTTATGACAAGCCCATTTGGTCTCTAACACAGGAACCCTACTTACCAACTTCAGGGACACAGTCCTGAGGGTTACAAGACTCTCTCTCTTCCGGTTTCAGCTGAGGGTCACAGAGATGACTCAGGGTCATGTCATCTGACAGACACCTCACTTCCCGGACTCGGAAGCCACCCTGGCAGCTCTTGGAGCACTGTGTGGCAAGAAAGGGAAGAAGTCACCAGAGAGGGAAGACACGGGAAATTTGAAACATCTCCACAAACGAGGTAGACTTGAAGCAGACTCCCGTGCCCCGATGGAGCAGCTTCAATAGCCAGCAGCTCAGGGACGCTGTGACCCGTCTGTACCCCCCAGCCCTGCTCATACAGTGTAGAGCCCAATCGAGATGTCACATTGCTCCTTCCGCAATGTTTCAGTTTGTAGCTCTGAAAAACAAGGACCCTTAAAACTCACCACAATGCCATTGCTACCCCTAAAAATTTATAACAGCTCTGCATTGTCTTGAAACACACATTTACTGTTCCTGTTCGCACTCATCTTACAAACCTCGTGATTGTAAGATGGTTTTCGCCTTTGAAAATCAGGATCTACATCAGATCTCACATTGCAGATCTGGTTGGTGTCTTTTATACCTCAACCTGCAGGTTTTCTCTCCATCGTCTCTTTCCCGTTGAACGTGAAGCTTTTTTTCTCTTTGTGGTGTGAGGAGAGCCTTATGCATACTAGGCAAGTGCTCTATCACTAAGCTACATACCCAGTCCTTGGTTTTTCAAGACAGGGTTTCACTATGTGGCCTAGGCTGGACTCAAACTTCTTCCTGCCTGCCTCAGTCTCCTGAATGCTGGGATTACAAGCATGCCCAAGCATGTCTGGCTTAAAAATTTTTTGATAGCTGGGTGCAGTGGTGCATGCCTGTAATCCCAGCATATAGGAGGCTGTAGGTAGGAAGATCATGATCTGAGGTTGGCCTTGCCTTCCCCCTACCAAAAAAAGCAAGACCCTATCCAAAAAGAACTAAAGCAAAAAAAAAAAAAAAAAAAAAGACTGACAGTGTGGCTCAAGTGGTAGAGCACCTGCCTACCAGGCATGAGGCCCTGAGTTCAAACCCCACTACGACCCCAAAAATATTTTTTTTAGATAAAAGAACTGAATCATTTGTCTTGTGGCTTTCCCATGCCTGGGTTTTGCTGACTGCACCCCAGGTGCAGCTTGGCATGTTCCCCTGTTCTGTTTTTCCTGTCAGTGGTTGGTTGGATCTAGAAGTATTGTTGGGCAGATTTGATCCACAGAAGTGTGTGGCCATCTTTGTCCTGGGCACGTACCTGTAAGGTCCCAATCTCTTAGTCCACGTGGGGTTGAAAATGCTGATATTGTCGTCTCCCCAGTTTCTGAGAGATCTACTATGCTTTTATATTGTAAATGGATGGGCTTAAGACACAATGGCTTCATTCACTCTGTTGTAGCTATTGCTCTTATTAATGTCTGAAATGCCTGGTCCCTCAGTGGCCAGCAGAGTCTCTAGAAGTGGCCTCTTGAGGCCTTTGGACTTGAGCTCAGCTGACTCTGAGAAGTTCCTTGCTGCCTGGCCACCCACTGCCACCTACTGCAAGTGCAAGGGCCCTAGTTCCACCAAAAAAAGAATCTTCCCGTCTAACTTATACACACCACCCCAGATCAGGAGCCCGCGTGTCTCTAAGGCTCCCTGGCTCCTTTTAGCGGGAAGTGGTATTTCAAACCTGTCACATTGTGGGTGACAGGAAGGCCCTTTATTGCCAGCTTCCTGGTTGTCTCTAGCTCCTTCAGTGCATGAAGCTGGGAAGTAACTTTTTAAAGGTAATTCATAAGTTTGCTGCAACAGACTACTTCGAACGGCATCCTTGAATCCTTTCAATGATCGTCTCTGCAGCAGGCTTTCTCAGAAAGCAGTCTAAGGCCCGAGTTCTGCTTGTTAAGTAGGCAAAATCTTTGGCCAGGATGGGCCCAGGGTCAGTCTTTTCAAACAAGATCCCCAATAATTCTGTGCACCCAAAAGCTTGTGAGTTCCTGCTTTACGACCACTGCCTTGCAGAAAGCAGCTCATGCAAACGTCAGGTTTCTGCCAAGGGGACACCCCTGCAGTGACGGGACTGATAAGGTGATCTGTAATCCACTCTCAGGCTGGGGCCAGGGCCTGGCACACAGGTGCCTGTGGGAGGCCCGCAGACGCAGGACACTGAGGCACTCTCTATGAATGGCTCGGTGCCTTACCATGCTCCACTCGGTGCTAAACCACTTGGCTCCACAAGGCTTGAGGTGGCAGGGTTGCTGGCTGGGGGGTCTCTCCAGGAAGGAGCACTCCGAGGGGTCCAGCACCTCAAAGGTGTCTGCGCTCTTCCTCACACAGATCACCTCCCTCTGTTGTGCCCCGCTGCCACACTCGATGGAACACTGAGAGAGAAGCAGAGACACAGGGTCACGTGATGGAATGGGGACCAGAACCGTCCTGACATTGGGGGGCATCATCAGTTCTGCCACCAATCTAGCAAGGAAGAACCCAGGGAAGCTGACAATGTTTCTGGAGGAGATGCTGCATATGAATTTCCATTTTTCTAGCACTTCTGTCCCGAGAATGGAGAGTTGGGTTGTCAGAGTCTCTGAGGCAGCATTGCCTTCTGCACTGAGAGTGAAACAGGCTCCCTTAAGCTCCCTACAGGGACGGCCAGCCAGTTAGCTTGGATGCTTCTGTCCAGTAGAATCTGTCACTTCTCAGAGGTGCACATTTGGGGACAAAGAGCTAAACTAGGATTCTAGGAACACACAAACTGAGAAGATCCTGGACTTAGGACACTGTCCCCTGTGGTTAACCCTCCCTTTCCAACAGGCTGGCCTGCAGGAACTCCGCCATGGTGTTCACTTCTCTTGCTTCCTGGCATGGGGGCTATGCTCACACATGTGGCAGTGTCCACAGGGACTGAGTAGATGACAATGATACAGCTTGGTGCAATTTGTTAGCTTATACAAACAGGATGTTTGCTCACAGATGATCCTAGTTACTAAAATATATTACTTTGTAAAAGGTTTTTGTTCATGTTTTTCTCCTCTTAGTACTTTTCTGATTACAAGATTTTAAAGCTGTTTTCTGTAGACTTTCATTGACTCCAAAGAATCTACTACTGCTCAGAAAAGCCTGTCACAGGGTCTAAAGTCAAACGCTTAATATCAGCTTTCCTGTCTGCCTGAAGCCACAAGATCAAATAAAAATGGGAGAAAGAAAAGCACCTGCCTGCAGAAAAGAAAACCCCAAATCGACAGAGAATGCCTTTGTCCCACAGGGTGGTCACAGGGTGGCCAGAAGCTATCACCACCAGCACATTCTGCAGGGTGTCTTTTTTCTTCTTCTTTGTAGCATCCAGAAGACAGACCTCCCTCTCTGTTTTCCCTAGGCTCCCCCTCATCCCCTGATGGTTTATGAACTGATTTGGATTGTGTTCACATTTTTTTCTTTTTAAAAGTTTCTGTCAACAGTGGGAGAACTGGAAGCAGGGGAGGGCCAGGATGTGGTGTGGGCACCCTGTGGAGGGAACAAGGTGTATGGGGCTGAGGGGCAGGGATGGAACCTGGGATGCAGTCAGGAGACAGGGATTGTGATCGGGACAGTGTCACTGGGTAGCCCTATGTCTTTGGTTGAGCCACTGTGCCACCCCAGGTCTCTGGTCTCATTGGCAAGGTGAGGGGCTCAGCAGACCCCATAGTGCTGTGGGTTTTTACCTCTGTACCGAAGGCCTGGCAGCATGGCTGGCTGTCAAGCTTGATCTCAGCCTGAAGTCTCTCACGGCAGACTGTGGGAACAAGTGGCTGCCTATGGTGTGTGTGTGTGGGATCTGTGTGCTCCTGAGATGGAATGTGACAGCAGTGAAGTCTGCTTATCCTCAGTGGGCCAGAAATCCTGGGGAGTCCTTGAACAGTGAAAGACAGATTAAACTGAAGGAGGACCCACCCGAGGAGGACCCCTAGCGAAGACAGAAGGGCTGAGGCGCCTTTGGCTAGGTGGGTGGTGGGTATGAGGGTGAGGAGGGGCCTTGGGTCAATGAGCAATCAACCGAGTGACTGACAGGTGCAGTCAGGCTGGCCTGACTGTGCCAAGGAAGAGGAAGCGGCATGGCACCTGCCACTAGCAGGACATGCATGTGAAAGGGGAAGGTGAGGCCATTTTTAGATACCAAGGGCTCACCATAATCACCCTTACAGCCCCTGTCTGAAGGACTTACTGGGTTAGAGCTCCAGCAATTTGAAAAAAAAGAAAAAAAAAAAAAAAGCCAAGAACACATAGGCCATAAAAGCAACAGTTGGCAAGGACTCTGGTGAAAGTCATTGCTAATAATGGATACAGGTCCCCTTTTAGGGTGATGAAAGTGTTCTGGGCTAGTGGTGATGGCCGCACAATTTATGAACATAGTAAAACTTGCTGGATTGTGTATGCCAAAAGAGCAGCTCTTACGGCGTATGACTTCACTTCAGTTAAAAATAACCTTTGGGGGAGAGAGAGCTACTTAAAAAGAAAACCAGTATTTTCTAGAAAATTAATTAGCATTAGATTGACTCTAACTTCAGATGAAGTTAATGTGTTTGGGAAGGACTGGAGATGGAGGGAATGGAGGTGAAAACAAAAAATAAGCTTCTGTTTTCTCCTCTTTCCTTTTAGGGGAGGATGTGGTTATTCATAATTTAATCCTGATAAAAATTAAAAGTTTAAAACTTTGCACTAAAAATTTAAGTGTTGTTACTAGAGGGGGAAAATGATCACTTTTTCCCCAAAAGGTGATTTCCAAAATCACTTCCAAAATGTTAGGGGGAAAATGGAATTAGAAGAGCCTGACTGAATGGCTATCACCAAGGAAATGAACAACAACAAATGCTGTGAGGATTCGGGGGTGCGGGGGAGAAGGAACCCATGCTGTCGGTGGAATGGAAATTAGAGCAGCCACTGTGGAAATCAGTATGGAGGGTCCTCAAAAAATAAAAAGAGAACTACCTTATGATCCTGCCGTACCATTTCTGGGTGTAGACCTGAGGGAGTGTAAGTCAGCAACGATGGAGACACCTGCTCACCTGCATTCCTAGTGACACTATTCATGTCAGCCAAGCTATGGGATCAGCGTAGGCGCCCAGCCATAGATGGGTAGATAAAGAAAATGTGGTACAAATACACATAAAGATGAAATTGTGTCATTTGCAGGAAAATGGAGGGAAGTGGAGACCATCATGTTGAGCAAAATAAGCCAGGTTCAGAAAGACAAATATCACATGTTTTCTCTCATATATGGAATCTGGATTTAAAAAAAAAGAAAGACTTGGAAGCAGAAGAGGGACTATTTGGGAAGAGAAAAGGACCAGTGGGAGAGGGGACAAGAGAGGGTATGGGGGTGGGGGGAACCAAAGTACTTTATATACCTATATAAAATGTCATAATGAAGCTACTATTTTGTGAAAGTAAAATATGCTAATAAAAAAGAGACTCTGAGCAATATAAATGTGTGAAAAAGCAGCCAGGCACAGTGTCTCAAGCCTGTAATCCTACTAATTGGGAGGAGACTGGGAGGACTGAGATTCAAGGCCAGCCTGAATAAATAGTTTTTGAGACCTCTCTGGACCAATGTCTGGCATGGGTGATGCCTGTCATCCCCAGCTATAGGGGAATCACAAATTAGAGGGTCATGGTCCAGGATGGCCTGGGGATAAAGCAAGACATTATCTCAAAGTTAACCAATGTAAAAAGAGCCGGCAGAGTAACTCTCACAAGTGCAAAGTCCTGAGTTCAAACCCCAGTACTGCCAAAGGGGAAAAAAAGACAATAGTAACAGTTCAAACATAAGTGATTACAGTAAACATAAATGGCTAAAATTTAACTCTTAAAAAACAGACTTGCAGATAGTAACAAACAAAGGCAAACAGAGTCCTGAATACAAAAGGCATACCTTGAAAAACATGGAAGATTTGGAAATTAAGACATTAGCAAAGATGTACTGAGTGAAAATCAACAATGAGAGATCAGATAGAGTAATTCGAGTATTGGTAAAATGTGACCCATGCAGTTTTTAAAAGCTCCCTGCAGAGACATTAGGCTGTAGTTAAGACAAATAATTCAAGCACAGGAGTGGGCAGAACTGAAGCTCCTTTTGCTGCCAGCACAATCTCTTCCTCAACCACACAGTAAGTTAAAAGCAGTGACCACATCCACCTGATAAGCCAGCCAGTCTAAATTATCCATTTGACAAGATGCATTTTTTTCTTTTTAAGAAGGTTGTGAACAGGTGTCATGAAGGATGCAGACAGGGATATGCCTAAAATTTCCCTCAAAAAGAAAAAATATGCATCTTGGCCTTGCATCTTTTGAATCTCTCTTTTTAAAGTAAAATATTCTAGACACATCTCTGCATATTTTCAAGTATTTTCTCTTGCTGTGAGAGTGTATGTCGTGACTGTCCTTGACAGTTTTACTTACTGGTTGCTCTGTGAAGCTGAAAAGGAACATTAAGTGGAGTGAAAAAATGTGAATTTATTTATAAAAGTAGGTACTTATAAATGAGACATAGGGAATGTGAAACCCACAGTCATGTCAGGTGGGTGGTGCACCAGCTCGTATTTTGGGAAAGATAAAAGAATTCTGTTTGAGAGCTTTATGTTTCTTTTCTTAGTCAGAATTTGTCCAAGGTCTAGTTCTGAGTTGCAAACTTGACTTTGAAATACTTCTGCTGATTACCATGAAATCACTACTGTGTTGTGCTGTGTGTCCCAGGGTGTGTGTGTGGGGTTAATGTACTCATGATTAACTGTGGCTAAATATGTTATTTTAATAAAATATTGGAACTTTAAATAAATAAATAAAAATATAAAAGTAAACTGCTAAAAAATGTAATTCATGGAGAAAAAGCACAGAAGACAAAAGGTTACATTTAATAGGGATCAACACCCCGGTGAGGAGTGGGTGGTCAGGCACAGTTCTGCCCTGACCCGGTGGCTTCCTGCTGGCAGGATTTGGTTGGGTCACTGATTGGAGGCCAGGGTGGTCCAGATGCTAGTGGAATAAACAGGTAGGAGTGGACTTCCTAAGGCTGACGCTGTCTTAGCTGGGACCCAGGGATCTGAGAGCAGCAGAAAACGAATGTCTTCCCTTTCTTCTTCTTTATTTATTTGTTCACTTAATTTTTTGCAGGGCTGAGGACAAACCCAGGGCTTGTGCACTCTGGGCAGGTGCTCTGCCACCGAGCTACATCACCAGCCCTCAATGTCTTCCTTTGTTGGTGGAAACCTCGTCTCTTCTCTCTGGACCTAGGTCTCATTTTTCTCAGGTTGGCTTTTTCCACAAGCCTCAGAATAGCCACTAAACTGACACCAAAGCTCACCACTTCCCTCAAGGACACGTGCAAAGACCCAGGGAAAGTGTGGGCCCTGTGTCCACCCTGCCCCGATCACTAACCCCAGGCTGGTCATTCTAATTCTCAAATTGTCAGAAGGAACATTTATTTTTATAAATGCCTGAGACTTATCTTCTGTGAGACCAGCCCGATCTATCTCTTTTGGGGAGCAGAGAAGGATGATGTCAAATTCCAAAGTTTGGCTGTGTAACCAAAGCCCAATCCGCACTAGGTTACGTTCTGACCCTTCTGGACCACAGGGTAACTGATACCTTGTTTTTAACCTCAGCAGAAAGAAAGGTGCCTTTGCCAGGGTTCACTCCACTTTCAGTTCTCTGAGCATCTACCTGAGGCCAATGGAGGCCTGCATGCAGAGAAGGCCCTGCATCCAGCTCCCACCGCCTTTCTGAGCTCAGGTGACATGTGAGCCCGGTGGTCTTGCTTTTCTGTACTGTGTGGGACGGTTATGATGACACTACAGTTTCCCACAGGCCCCACCCACTGCCTTGGTGTCCGTGGATGGCTAGCATAATTGTTTTATCTACACTCGCCTCTTGATTATTGAATGAGATTGAAAAAAATCTTGTTCAAAGCTACCCTTCCCCAAACCCTGTGCTCTGGACACACTGGCCTGGGGTTGGGGGTTTGGTGCACTTTGGTACCTGGTCACCCTGGTCTCTTAGCCAAGAACTCTGAGTACTCAGCCCTGCCATGGCTCTGGGCAGGAAGTCCAGCCTCTTTGGGCTTAGCCAAGGGCAAAGGCACAAAATACCTGGCAGAAAAAAAAAAGTTAATAAATCTGGAGAGAAAGGAGCTAATATTTAGTAAGCACTTCCCTTGTCACCAGCAATGGGTGACACACTGTATGTGATGCACCTATGAAACCCCATATTATCCTAAGGAGGCTGTTATTCTTCTCATATTTACGTGAGGAAACAGCCTCGGAGATGTCAGGTTTCCTGCCCCAGGTCAGAGAAGTGGAGCTGGGACCAGTTATCAAAGTGCCTAACTTTGATGCTTACTTGAATTCTCTTCCTTTCTGAATTTTCTGTGTTTTACAGACTGTATTCTAAGACCACTGAAGAAAATTTGGTCCAGGCCTGGTGGCACATCCTGTAATCCCAGCACTTGGGAGGCAGAGGCAGGAGGATGGTGTGTTTGAGACGAGCCTGGGCTACAATAGCAAGACCTGTCTCAAAGAAACAAAAAACCAACAACAATGAAGAGAAGAAAACCTTTTCCCGGGCTGTTTACACGAAAACTCTATTTTGAGTGGCTGGGTTCACAGGTCATGTTTTCGAGGTCTTTCACCACTGTGTCACAGGCAGCTTTTACCCCTGGTGGTTTGCTGATTGTCACATTCTGTTCTACTGAGCTATGACAAGCTTTAATAAATATCCCCAACCATCCTGCTGTGACCACCATCTGCTGAAAAAGCTCGTTTTCCTTTAAACGAACCCCCGGGAGGGCGCTGACTGGGAGCGGGCAAACGCACACTTTTATGGTTTATGGACTTTTATTACCAAATTATTTTCCAAATGGCTCCTGTCAGTTTACAAGGACTAGGCAGTCCATTGTTTTCAAGGTCTGTTTTGAAAGCTACTTAAAAACAAGATTCACTATGGAGCCAGGGGTCCTGATAACGTGTGTCCCAGTCACCAGCCAAGAGGTCCTCGGAGAGGCAGCGGCCCTGGGAGCGACACACTAGGTGGGCCGGGGACTCGAACCCTGGGAGGAATTCTAACCGCGTGAGGGAACGGCTCACGTTTTTCCTAGGGGTTCACAGCCAATGTTGGAAGATGAGGAAAATTAATTCATCAATTAATTAGGCTATTTTATTAAAGGCGTCAGCAGCATCTGTTCTTTATACCAGTACGCCACGCCAGCCTTTGAAATTCCAGTTTGGACTCCATCAAGTGCAGACAAAGTGGCTTTGTCACCAGCAAGAACGCCAGAAGCAGCGGTGGCCAGCGGTGACTTCCTGCGTGTCCTGTGTGCCAGGCACTTTTCCGTGCTTCTTAATTATGTCATTTCTGCTAAAACAACCCCAAAAGGTGCCGTGACTGCCAGCATTTTCTAGACCAGGAAACCAAGCCCGACAACAAGCTCCCCGACTTCGCCCAAGTGCTTAAGTGAGTGTGCAGGAGGCGCTCCCTGACCGCCGCTGACCGAATGGGGTGCCCAGAGCGTCACCAGGCTCACAACGGGTGGCTGGTGGCACAGCTGGAGGCAGGGGGGACACCTGCCCCAAGTCGTGGTTCCTAGCCCCACTCTTACGCTGCCTCTTGCGAGGGACAGACAGACACATCCAGTTGTGGCTACTAACCTGGCTCCAGCTCCCAGCAAACCACTCCACCTTGCCCGTGCAGGGCCCATTGTCACACGGGGTGTCCTCCGCTGGCCGGTTGTTCCCACAGCCCTCCAGGGGCAGGCTGCTGACGTGGTTTGTCATGCACACGACGAGCGGGTCCGCACCCCAGCCCCACACTCCGCCGAGCACTGTGAGACGGGAGGAGGGCACGTTAGAGGGGACATCCCAAAGGACGTCAGGGGGGATGGGACGCCTCATTGTCTTACAGACTCTAGAAATGTCTGACAACTTCTTATGCACGAAGCACTCCATGACTGTCATCCTTCCTGCCCCTTATCCACCATTTTGCTTTCTACATTTTCAGTCGGTTATGGCCAAACGCAGCCTGAAACATTCAATGGAAAATTTCAGAAAGAAGCATTTCGTAAGTTTTAAGTGGTCCCAGTCAGCACATGTTTCTAGACTGAAGTCCCTAGACAATTCCCTCCCACACACTTCATGCTGGACAAAGCTGCAGTGGCTGTGACTCCCAAGTCACATGACATGCACAGAGTCTTGTCTGTGCTGTTCCCTCAGCCTGGAAAGCTGTTCCCTTCACCAGAATCCTTTAAGGCTCAGCTCAGACACCGTCTCCTCTTTCTGCTTCCTTCCTTTGTGTTACTGTCACTTGTGTCTTGTCTAGTTCCTTTGTTCTTTTTGTTCACTGTAGCAGTAGGCTTGTGAGGACAGGGACTATGGGATGATCTTTAAGTCCTTCTCTGGTGAATTAGTTACATTTCTTGTTGCTGTGACCAAAATGCCTGACAGAAACAACTTAAGGGAAGGAAGGGTGTCTTTGGCTCAGAGGTTTTAGTTTTGGAGGTGGAACATGTGTATATGATGGGATATTATTCTGGCCATAAAAAGAACAAGATCTTGCCATCAGCCACGACATGGATGGGCCTGGAGGACATTACGCTGAGGGAAATAAGCAGACACAGAAAGGATGAGGTTTCGGGGGGTTTGGTCTGTCATGGCGGGGAGGGCTCGGGGAGCAGAGTGCTCACATCGTGGTGACCAGGAAGCAGAGTCATTTGTTACAGTAACTGGAGTAGTCTAGCTAGAGGACTTTTTGTTTCAGCCGTGTGTGATCTGGACTTTTCCTAACTTTAAGCTCAAGATATTTAAAATCTCTTACAGGGAATCAAAGATAACAAAATGTCAGTCGTCACTGTTTCAAACCCTAAAAGCGTTTCTTCTCACTGGTCTCCGTCTGCCTAGCTAACTTCATCTTCCCCTTTCCGAAGCTACAATGTGCGTGCAGCCGGGGACGTCTCCACATTCCCACGTGCTCAGCTTCAAAGAAGGATGTCAGGGGGCCAGCCAGTGTCCGAGGAGGGGACACCGCGCTGGTGGGACCAGCAGAGCGAAACTCACAACGAATTGACACTGGGAAGCGGCTGCCCATGCAGGGGCTGGCCCAGGAGGCCTCTGGGCAGCAACGAGGGGCAGGAGCCTGTCCCCGCAGCAAGGGTCCCAGGCCTCCCACACCCGCTGTTCCCGAGAGACGCTCCCAAAACGAGGGCCCATCTGCTCCAGCGCTCAGAAAGGACCTGACTCCGCCTGGCCCGTCATCGCGGCTTGAACACGGAGGCGCACGGCCCCTGAGCAAGCTGTGAGCACCGCTTTTGGCCTCTCGTGTCCCGGGACGGTCGGGCTCTCATTACTCTTGAGCGTGTGCAGCTGTGCGGTGACCTAAACAACTCAATGTCTTCTCTCGTTTCTTCCCTGGAAACTTCACTGACAGTGACAGTCATTACAGAACAGGCTGGTGGACTTTCTAACAGGCTTCTGATTAAAAATTGCACGTGTTTCCGCCTGCCACAGATTTGTAGAACTAGAAAGTAAATGAACTAAAACTTGCAGAAAAAGTCTGATAAAGTTGACTTTTAATTAAAAGTAGGTGCAAGTCAGGCGCTGGTGGCTCACGCCTGTAATCCCAGCTACTCAGGAGGCAGAGCTCAGGAAGATCGCGGTCCAGGCAAACAGTTCGTGCGACCCTATCTCTAAAAAACCCATTACAAAAAAAGGGCTGGCGGAGTGACTCGAGGTGCAGGCCCTGAGTTCAAACCCCAGTACCAAAACCAACCAACCAAACAAAGCTCTCAGTTGATGCTTGGGATATTTTAAGCAAAAGTTATCTTTCTGTGGAGAAATTTGTCAAAATTCATTAAGACTTCTAGAATTCCTAAAAGTTGGTTCAATAATTCCACTTCCTAAACAATATTTTAGGGAATGAAGGATGGATGCACGTAAAGATTTGTGTACAAACCTGGAGCTGGGCTCACACACCTGTAATCCTAGCTGCTCAGGAGGTGGCGATTGGGAGGATCAAGGTTTGAGGCCAGCCTGATCAAAAAAGTTCATGAGACCTCATCTCAGCCAATAAAAGCTGGGTGCAGTGGTGCACACGTGTCACCCCAGCTACACAGGAGGCATAGGCAAGTCCAGGCCGCCTGGGACACAAACGTAAGACCCTATTTGATAAACAACTAAAGTGAAAAGGACCGGGGACGTGCCCCAGTGGTAACAGCACCTGCCTGACAAGCGCAAGGCTCTGAGTTCGAACTGTCTACACTCTTGAGCTATTTGTCGACACCCGAGGGCCCCAGACTACTGGGGAGAGGACGGTGTGCAGAGAGTGTCTAGCCTTGAAAAGCAGGGGAGGCACCAGCCGTCCACGGCGTGTCTGTTGTATTTCAGGCACAAAACAGGCGTGGTGTGACATAATTATAGCTGATTCAGTGTTTCAGCATTTCTTGATGATATTGAGTGCTGACCAGGGTTGAGCTAACTTTTGTCACACCTGCTCCTCAATCCTGAAGCCCCTAAGTCATTCTCAGGCAGGTTAGCCCAGGGACAGGTGACACGAGGACTACAATGCAAGCTAATACTTGGTGACCTCAAGCCCCACGCAGGAGCTAAAACTGTCAATCTAAGCACTGCACTAAGCAAGGCAAGCTGCACTGCACGCTCCTTTCCCCGGCATCTCCAGCCGTCACCCCTCGGCTCCTGACTGTCCCCGGGACTTCAGAATGCCTGATCTTTTGATCAACAGCTTCCCCCCAAAGTTACAGGGAACAAGCACCATGTCACAAGACCCCGTAATGAGTGAGATGGCCTCAGACCCTTCCAGGCAGAAGCCTTGAATCCGGGAACCTGGTAATGAGTTCAGGACCTTCTCTCACTAACATCCTCCTTTTTTTTTTTAACGTGTGTGCATGGTACTGGGATTTGAACTCAGGGCCCCCGCCTGCTACCACTTGAGCCACTGCCCAGCCCTTTTTGCTTTAGTTGTTTTCCAGGCAGGTCTGGCCTTTGTCTGGGGCCAGCCTAGAGCTGCAGTCTTCCTACCTATTCCTCCTTTTGATAGACGTACGCCATGACAGCTGACTTATTTATTTGGATAAAGTCTTGTTAAGTCTCTACTGGGCCAGCCTTGAGCTACAGTCTTCCTGGTCTCCATCTCCTGAGTAGCTGGGATTAAAAGCTGGTGCCACCAGGCCTGGCTGAGATCCTCCCTGACCTTTCTCCAGTGACAATACAGTCAGAAGTCTGCCCTAAGAATCTGATCTAGTGATCGGTCTTTGTGTAGTTTGGGGACACCTTGTGACATGCAGGTGCTGGTCTGAGCCCCTCTGCCACCGCACACTCACCCTCTCACTCCACTCAGTGAGGAACCAGCTCTTCGCACAGGGTCCCATGTCACAGTTCTCAATGTCATTTGGTCGGAGCTTCATGTTACATTCCTCGTCGTCAACCACGTCCCCAAGGTTGCTCACACACTTCACATCTCGGGTCCTCTGTCCCACTCCACAGGGCACCGAGCACTGAAACACAGCAAGCTCACATCATTCTTTGTCACCTGCCCCCCTGAGCAGATGGGGGACAGATGTGGGGCTCCTCTGTGTGGCTGGATCCCTTACAATGCACCTAACTCCCTGGGGGAGACTCTCAGCCCTGGGAAACACCACAGGCAGCAGCGCTAAGACTTTGCATGCTTAACCCCGCCCGGCCTCAGTTTTTCCATCTGTGAAATGGAACAGAAAACTGGAAGTAGTCGGCTCTGCTAGTAGACACCAACCACTGCAGGCGGTGGGCGGCCCACACCGAGTCTACCCCCATCCAGATGTGGGTGTGTCCTATGGACGGCAAACATCCCTCCCAGGGAGCCGAGGGTCACCCTGACTGTGGTCCGTGGGGGAGTGGTGGTGGATCTTGCAGAGAGAGACACCATACCGAGGTCCAGTCAGTCCGGATCTGCCACTCGCTGCAGATCTTAAGCTGGCAGGTGCTCGTGGTCTCCGGCTTCTCCAGGTGCTGGCAGCGGTAGGGCTGCACCGTCAGGCTGCGGTTGGCGTATACCTGGCGGCACAGGACCTGGCGGTGCTGCATGCCCAGGCCGCAGGTTTTGCTGCACTCAGACCACTCCCCGATATCCCAGCTGGCTCAGGAATAAGGGCGAGAGGGAGAGAGGGCTTCCGTTAACAGGACTGAGCCTGTGTCCATATTTTCAGAGACACTGGGGAACCCTCTTCCCAGAGCAGTGCTTAAAAGTCTGCCTAGGGCCAGGTGTGGTGGCTCATGCCTGAAATCCCAGCTACTCACGAGGCAGAGATCAGGAGGGTCGCAGTTCAAAGCCAGCCCAAGCAAAAAGTTATTGAGGTCCCCATCTCAACCAATCAGCTGTGTGTGATGGTACACGCCTGTCATCCCAGCTATGAGGGAGGCGGAGGTAGGAGGATTGCAGTCTGGCACGGACAAAAAGTGAGACCCTACCCAAAAATTAACTAAAGCCAAAAGGGCTGGGGGAGTCGCTCAAGTGGTAGAGCACCTGTATGGCAAGAGGAGGCCCTGAGTTCAAATCCTAGTTACTCCCACCCTCCCCCCAAAAAAAGTCCATCTGGTTGTGCAAGGGTGAACGCTCTGAAGTGCTGTTTACTGCTGACCACATTTGCCCAGATTCTGTACAAAGTTACAGAAAACTGAGCAGGACAAATGGCTGTCTAGTTAACCCCCCCACCCACCGCCACAGGCTAGTTTTATTACCCTATAGAACATCAGGCTGCTCAGTTTTCGAAACTAAGACCCCTATTCTGGCACTTTTGCTTTTCTTGCTTCCACATCTTGCTCGCTACCCTCCGCCACCATCCCAGCCTCCTTAATTAGTTAAACGAGTCATCAGCATGCATCCATTGTGCATTTGGACGGGATTTATATTTTTATTACTTAGGGGATTAGGTTTCAACCTTTTAGTTACTTTCCCCTGTTCTTCTGGATGTGTCCTACTTATCAATCAATAACCAGTCCCAAGCCTCTCCCTGGTCCCTTCTCCTGTCTTCTCCAGGCTGGCTGTCAGCTCACTTACACCGCTGACCCCTGGGTCCCCACTCCTTCCTTCCTTCTTCGTCTCCCTTGCCAGGTTGGACCTAACTTGTCCTGCTTCTCCAAGGTCAGGCTTGCTGGCTTGTGCCCACTTGCTAAAGGCTCCTGGGCTCCTCCTGAAGAACAGGCAAGCTTGACAGACTTGTGTCACACGCTGGCATAGGCTGTGCTCCTAGAGCAGATTTAGATTGCTACTAAGATCTCATGAGCTTGCAGCCAGAAGTGGCCCGAACATCGGCGACCTAGACAGGGGCTTCTTACAAGGCTGGGCAGGGGAAGAGGTTGCAAGGCTCCTCCTCCGAGGTGGGCTTCATGCTGGAGTCGCAGTAGCTCTCAGGAGCCTCTTCGTGGGTGCTTCTGTGCACACAGCGGAAAAGAGGATACTGCGATCCTGCAAGGACACGAGAATGACCTGCAGGACAGTTCTGAACCCTCAAAAGCCAGGCTACAAGGAGATGCCCAGGAAGGAGGGCACAGAACCCACGAGGACAGCCCCCACGCTCCTCCCTCACTGTGTGGTGATGTACACCTACCCACCAGGCTCCACCAGGGGCAGTGCGTGGGCAAGAAGAATCACACCCAGTCCCTGCCCGGCAAGAGCTCACAGTCTCTACGTGGACATGGTTTGAACACGTTCGAAGGCAGATACAACAATTTTCCTAGCAGTTCAGGATAACAAGAGTTCACTCGGCAGGGGAGTGATTATAGAGTGAACAGGAGTAGTAACTTTTCCAAGGTTTTCCGGAGGAGGCAGAAAGTGCCCTGGGGGGGGGGGGTCCAGAAAGGGTGGGGTTTGGATGGGGGGGCGTGCATGTGTGTTGGGAAGGGGGCTGTCCAGGTGGTCTCACAAACTGGCCAGCTATGTCAGGTATGTGTGTGAGCCAGGTTGAAGGAGAGAGGTGAGTCCATTTGAGAATAGCCAGTTGCCTTTCCCCAAGGATGCACTTTATACATTCCTCTAAGTAATGTGCTGATCCCATGGCATTTCAGTTATCTGAGTGCCCATCTGCTTCCCATCTCCCCTAGGACGGCCAGCCGCCCTGGGAAAGGACAAGTTCTTGTTTATCTCTATAACCCCACACCTGGCAGTTTGTTGAGTATTTATCAGAGGTTTAATATTTGTTTTCAGTACTTTGCTAACAAATAATAACTGCCTCTGGTTGTTTTTAAATACACAGCCTGGCTTCATTGACTTAATAAGGATAAAACTATTTTGGATAAAAAATTAAGTGGAATTTCTAGCTCTCAATTCAATTTTGCCTTCCTCACTCTGCTGCCACCTGCTGGCAGCATTGGGCACTACAACTGTACTTGAAATGCACTGTCTGCCCCTCAGTCGGGTTTTAGACACAGTTCTTGCTGGGAAGAGCAAGGTCACGTACTCCAAAACTCTGCTTATCTCTGTTGCTAACTGGCCAGGCACTTGTATTTTTCAGGCCTCCAACTTGTTAAAATTTTAATTATAACATGAAAAAACGTAAGTGTTCCCCGCTGATCCTGCAGTTCTTGTAAGAAACTTGACAGTTTGTAAGACAGTTTCAAATCCAAAACGATCATTTGTTGAAATTACTTTGCTGTAAAAATTTACAGTGTGGCGATAACTTGAGACTATTATTTAAAACAACTTTGCCATTAAGCCTAATTATTAGCTGAATAAAAAGCAGGACTGACTGTAAAACGAACAGGAAGCAAAAACTTCAGTGGAGCTCAACTTTGTTGACCTACATATCTCCTTCCATTAAGTAGAAGAGATTTTTAATTAAATTCAACAAACAGCACACTGTAAGACTCAGTTCACAGCTCGCTGTGCACCATTGGAGACCCAGCTAGCAAAGGATTAAGCAAAGATCTTAGCCTGTTCCTTCCCCTCCTGACTGTACGGATTTAACTTTTCTGCTTATGAGTTTGTGGATTGGAAGGCAAAAGGCATTACTCCAACCTCTTGGCCCTTACACAAGGGGGAACCTAATATTTGTAGCTGAGAGGATACAGGACACCATAGGAATGCCCTGGAAGGATGGTCTCTGCTTGGGGCTGGCTGGCAGATGGCCATTGCTGGCCTCCCTCCTGCCCCATTTTACTGCAGTCTGTGCACTGCCCATTGGAAATGACCCAAGGGAATGCAATCAGAGGCTCTTTGTCTCTCTGATGGTGAGAAAATGCCAGATGGACAGCTCTTAACTCCAGGGACTGCCACAGCTTCTTTCTTTGGTCAGTTTTAATATCTGCAGAAAGGGGGACCTGTCACTCAGAGCAACGGCGCCTCCCATTGTTCAAGGTTGTGATGTGAGGATTGCTTTGATTACTAGCAAGCAAAGACAAGGAATGGAGGGCAGGGGCTGCCTAGGCTTTAGGTGGCAGGACCCATCTGAAGTTGGCTTGTCTGGCTTGTATGTTGGCATACTGGTCAAAAGAGAAATATGTTACATTGAAGGTGGGAACTGTGCCATCGGTAACAAATGGGTGACATTACGGAGGGAAAGACAAAAGAAGGACCAAGAAAAAATTAAATGAGTCCAGACTTGGCAGTGCAGGAATCAACTGAGCCAAGCCAGGGTCTGGCAGAGATCTAGATAGTGATCATGTTGAGTAAGGGTCACTCCTGGGTGCTCCCCCAAGGGGATGAAGCCTTGAAAGGGTGATGTGTACCAGCGAGGCATGGGCACATGTGATCTGGTCAGCTTCACCAACGAGGACTGGCGAGAGTCTGGAGAAGGTTTGTTAGGGGACAAGTGGTGAGATCCCAAGCTGTGTAGCAAGGAGGCTGGTAGTACTGGCAGGCTTGGAGTCTCTTGGTGACAGCACACTTGTCATTCTGCTGACCACTGAGAGGTGAGCTAGGTGTTTTGTATATCCATAGGGCCTCACCTTCCTTGCATGTGTGCTGCCCTCACTCTACAGGGAACAAAGGAGGGGCAACCATGGGCTCCTGCCTCCTGTCACGTGGAAGAGAAAGAGAAGAGGGAGAGGCAGTGCATACCTATATTTCTTTTATTTTCTGTCTATCTTTTGGGCCTGAAAGCCAGGCTAAAGAAGAGCAGGACTGTCATCTCAGACACTCTAAGCAGCAGATGCTAAGTGTGGTGTGAGCGTGTACACGCAGCTATGTACAGGCTAAATATTTGAATTGGGTACCATGGGAGTTAAATCCCACCCCTCATGCCTTAGTAAGGGAGTCTGTGTGTGCAAACCTGTGTGTCTACCACATAAGGAGAAATGCAGCCTTAGATGATTACAGACAATCACAGGGAAATCTAGGGAACCAAGATTATTCTGTTTTGAATACATAAACCCACATTCTCGTGCTATTGAGATAGTGTGTGGGTAAGCGCAGGAACAGACCTGTCTCTTTAGGATATACTAAAGATGTTAAAAACCACCCTAACCTCTTTTTTAATAGTTCATACATTCCACATTTGAAATATGATACATTCATTTATCCAAGCAACATCTGAGGAGCGCGTCCCATGCACTCACTGTGACACCACATACAGAGGCTGTGGAGTGTGCACTCGTGGCGACAACCCAGCGAGCAGGGACACACGGAAATGAGTCCTGAACCGCTGTGGCTGCCAACGAAGGAGAGTCTACCTTTTTCCTTGGGAAAGGAAGAAGGTAACTGAGTTAGATCTTGGAGCATGGGTAGGAATTTGCTGGCCAGATACCCAAAGAGAAGAAGGGAGACTTATTATCTCAGTGTGGATCATGCACCGAAGGGGCGTTGGGGGCCAAAATGCCTGGAACCCTTGGATTGAGGTCTCTCCATCATGTCTGGTACAGGTTGGAGAGAGCCTGCTGAAGGGCCATCTGGATGAGGAAATGGCGTCCACGCAGGAGCACGGGTCGGTGTGAGCAGGCACATGCTTTTGTCTGTACCTCATTTTGTCCACAAAGCAATGCCTTACAGTCTCTGATGGGGGCCAAAGAATCTTCTACACTTGACACCCATGATATAGAATGACACGATGACAATTTTCACCCTCTTTATGACTCTCCCTCATGGTTGCCTGGTGTACTTGGTTGCTTTTATGAACACCATGCCACTAGGTATATGGAGGAATAATTTTTGAAACACGACCTTTTGATCTTGGGAGTCAGTTACGCGATACACTGCTTATCTCTACATGCCAGCAACACAATCTTATTAAAATGATTTGGGACTTAATGCAGAATTAGCTCAAACTTTCTGCCCTTGTCAAAAGACACATTGTGTAGGCCTTTAATTTTCCTTCACAAAGCTAACAAAGAAAGTTGGTTCAATGACTCCAGATCACATTCTTTGCCTGTGGATCAAGTACAAATAAAATTGGTGCAATCAACCTCTCTAAGTCAACCCTCCAGTTACCCAGTCCTTATGGATCTGCAGAGGTTTTAGCTTCCAGCCCCGCAAAGAGACAAAGACTTAAGATGCTATCCTCAAAAGCCAGTAAAGCATCATGCTTATGAAAAGGATAAAAGCATTAGAAACGGTGGTGAGAGATTTTTTCCATAGGCTAATTATGTCAAAGTTTCCAAATTTCATACCTTTAGCAACAGGTATCAAAGCAATACCCTGAGTGTGTCACCCAGCTTCCCAGTTTGTAGAAAGTCCTGCGGTACAGTCTTTTTGTTGCTGTAGTGACCTCCCTCAGAGAACAGCTGCCTCTGGGCAACAATAGAACTTTGGACAAACCAGGGGCTATTGTCACACACAGGAAGCACATTGTAATGACACTGCTTATAAGTGTATCCTCTGGGTATCCTCGAAGTGAGGAGCTTGGTCACCTTGAAATAGAAGCCAGGGGCCCAATGGTCACATTAAGTATTTGGGTTACCACATGCCACATCTACTGTATCTTTGGTTTCCAAGGAAATGGGACCCTGGGTCTGTGTCACAGTTTAGGGCTGATGCTGACACACTGCCAGACTTTACCTTGAACCTATCAAAACTGCCTTATTTAAATCTCACTGAAACTTCCCTTGTCCCTAACCTTCCTCTGGAGTGTGGTCCCCTTCCTGACAGTTGATAAACCTGGTGTTGTGAGGCTGCAGGTTTATCCCTGAAGGACCTAGTTGGCTGGTTAGGACAGGGAATAACCAAGCACTAAGATTTCACTGGGTGCATATAGAAGGGAGTTGGTGAGGATAAAAGCTAGCTAGCTCCAAGTCCTCAGAATGCTTTCTTTTATCCCTTAGGTTAGAGTCTGCTGCAAACTTGACTTGTACATCAACTTTTAGACCTTGAAGCACGGGACGATGTCTGTGATTATTTATGAACATATGTGGTCAGGGAAGGCCTGGTTTGCACAAACCCTGCATGTTCTATGAAAAACCCATCTTTAGGACTTGGCCTTGGCAGCTCCTGGAAGACAATCTTGGGGCCTTTGGACAAGGGTGTTTTCTGTGCCCGAGAATGTGGGCCCTGCTGTGTGAGTTTGACAAGATAACTGATGCAACAAGTTCAGTTCCAGGGACTGTTTCTGGATGCCCAAGGCCTTACCATGTTGTAACAGTTTCTCCTCTGGAGTACTGAGGTCTGAATAGTCAAGGTCAGCCACATGGGAACTGTATATCTATGTGACTAGCTCCTCATAAAACCCTGGACACCAAAGCCCTGGTTGTCAATACTTGGCAGGTGCTGTCACCCATCAATGTTAGGAGTGTTAAGTGCCTCCATGAGTGACTCCACTGGGAAGGGACCCCTGGGACCCTGCCATGCACCTTTTTCCCTTGCTGACTCTAATTTGTATTCTATAATAAAGGGAAGCTACGAGCCCGGCAGCTTTTCTGAATCTTGAAAGTCCTGTTGGTTCTCTGAGCCTGAGGGTCACCTTGGGACCACCAACCCACTGTGTCACACCAAGGAGCGATCTTGCAGGTAGGTTCACAGAGGTGAGTTTGCTGTGTCCATGCCTTCCTACCCTACACATGGCCTCACCTTTCCCACAGGTGGCTGAGCATTCTGTTGTCCCCAACTGTTTCCAGTTGTGATCCCGGCTTCGCCTTGGGGGTTGTGGAGCTGGTGGCACCGAGTTGTCTGGTCGGTTGGAAGGAAATCTGTCTGGATGCCTGACTGGGAAGGTCTGTGCTGACTCTGAGGTGAATATTTCAGGTGGCCCCCCATGCAAGTCTTCCTTCTCCCTGTTCCTCTCTTTCTCTTCTCCATCTTCCTGGTTCTTGTCTTCTGTTTCCAGCTGGCCATTGAAGGATTCCCCTAGGAAAGGGGACACACATGCACACAGAGTTGAAAGGAAACTGCTTCTATCTCGGAAATGATGTAACGAGAGATCATTTCTGATCCGCAGGATATAATCACAATATTTAAGGTAAGAAGATACTCATTTCCCTCAATATTCAAAACATTATTTAAAATCAGTAAGAAGGGGACTAAGGTAGAAAGGAGTAAAATAGAGGGGATGAACCAATTTGGGTTATAATACATATGTACATGGAAATGTCACAAAGATATTCCCTGCATAGCTATTTTAAACAAACAAAAATGTGTTTTTTTTAAATATAGAAAAACAGAGGACAAGAAGGTAAAAGAGGTCCTGTCTGGGGGTTGGCACCAATGGGAGGGGGAGGATGTAAGGAAAGGGTGCAGGAGGGTGACTATGGTGGAATATTATGTACTCATGTATGAAAAATGGAAAAATGAGACCTGTTGAAACTGTTCTGGGAGTAGGGGAGAGGGGATAAAGGAGAGTGATGGAGGGAGTGAATTCAACTATGATGTATCATAAGAACTTTAAATGTCACAATGTACCCCCAGTACAACAATAATAATTAATTAATTAAAAAGATAAAATCAATAAGAAAAAGACAAACTTCCCAATAAGAAAAGTAGGCAAGGCTATGGAGAAACAGTTCCCACAAAAAAGAAGTGCCAGCAGCTAAAAGTCATACTCAAACTCAGACTCACTCCTGCTGAAAGAATTTCCTGTGAAAACAAGAATAAGGACACAGAGTGCTTCATTTACTGAACAGTAAAGATTAGAGTTTGGAAAGCCTTACATCTCTTGAGGTAGAAAAGCACATTTTCACTCACCATGAATGAGTTAGGTGCCAATTTTTGGAGGACACTTTGGCACTAGCTATCCAATTTTTTTTTTTTTTTTTGGTAGGACTAGAGTTTGGAGTCAGGGCTGTGTCCTTGCAGGGCAGGTGCTCTACCACTTGAGCCACACCTCCAGTCCATTTTGCTCTGGTTCTTTTGGAGATGGGGGGGCTCTTGAACTATTTGCCTGGGCTGGCCTCGAACTGTAATCCTCCTGATCTCAGCCTCTCAATATCTAAGTTTTAAATATGCATACCCTTTGACCTAGTTACTCAGTTTCTAGAATAAATATTCTCATTCTTTTTATGTAAAGTTGCACATAAAAGTATGGTCATTAAAGTATTATTTGAAGTAGTAAAGTATTTTTAAGGTTCACCAGCGGTGGTGGTTAAAATACATTATGCTACAGCTGTGTGGTTTCACACGAAAGACTGCAGCACATATGTTCTGACATGAAAACAGGAATCTGATAAGGTTTTTGGTGTACAAGAAAGGCACAAAATTCCACTTGTATACACACAGAGACACACACCTGCACAGATGTGGCAGGTGACTTTTTTCTTTTTTTGGCAGTACTGAAGTTTGAACTCAGGGCTTCATGCTTGTTAGGCAGGCACTGTACTGCTTGAGCCACACCTCCAGCCCTGACTTTTTGAGAACTGACTTGTGTTTGGTTCTCTGCCTTTGTTCTTCCTCCTATCCCAGTCTGAAATAGCAGCCATGTCTTCAGAATTTTTTTTTTCCAGGGGAGAAAATGAAAGCTGCTTGAGGTATACAGTTGTCCCTACCATGGTGCAAACCTAGGCTCTCAGTGAGGTTACAGTGGACTTTGAGGAGGAGGAGGAGAAGGAGGAGGAGGAAGAAGAGGAGAAGGAGGAGACAAAGACAACGAAAGTGTGGAAAGGGCTTTTTCAGACAGATATTTCTAAGGAAGGGGAAGTCGAAGTCTGAGGTCTTGGATTTCCTGTGCACCACTGACCCTGACATGTACCCAGCAACATCCCAGAAGGAGGCCGTTTCTGTAAGGGGATTGGGGGCTGGTTGTCAAGCTTACCCAGCGTCCTGTGCGCCCAGCACAAGTTGGAAGGGGCGGAGCCCTTGTGGCCTCTCCTGTGGCACCTCAGTGGACTCGGTAATAGAGACTTTCATAGGCCCCAGCCAGGGCTTGGGTCCATTTCCATTCTGGGGTCCTTCCTCCCCCTGGAGTGGTGTGTGTGGTGTCCCCTAATTGACTGAGATTGTTTTCCACCACCTTCAAAGGCTAACGTTGAAGTTAGATTCGAATTAATTAATAGAAAATAGTGATATTGTGTATTCCTTGTACACTCAGATGGCAGACAAAGATTTGAACTGTCTGCAAATATGTTTGTATATGTGCAGAAGGGGGCCAGGCAGAATCCCATCCAGTTGTAAGAGATGGGGAAGGGGATGTGACTGGAGGCTGTTGTTAGTTTTGCTTTTTAGAGCAGAAGGTAGAGCTCCATTGACCCCACTGGCACTATCAAAATCCCACATGGAGGGCATATTTGTTACAACTGCCCGCCATGTAGCCCAGACTCCACAGTTTCCCCTGGGGTTCACTCTTGGTGGGGTCCATCTATGAGTAAGACTAATGTGTAATAGCTTACATCCACCATTATGGTACTACACAGAGCAGGGCCACCTGTCCTAATCCTCTGGGCTCTGCCTACTCATTCTTTCCTCCCACCCCGGGGACCACTGATTTTTTTTTTTTGGCCCCATAATGATGACTTTTCTAGAATGTCATGTGGTTGCACTTGATCCTCACAGGACCTCTGCAGACTGTCTCCTTTAACTTAGTGACAGGCACTTCAGGGTCCTCCATGTCTTCTGGTGGCTGAAAGGCAGACTGAAGAGCCACTGAAGGCTCTTCTATCCCACTGTCTGGAGGACATCTTGTTGCTTCCAAGTTTTGGCAATCACGGGGCAGCTGTTTTGACTTTATTCCTATTTTGAATATTGTTCACGCATGTATCATTTTATGCAAAGTCAGGAGGAGAGTTCTAGGTTACTACGGAACACAGTTAAAAATATCACAGCTCTCACCACCCTTTCAGCAGCACTTTCTTAGTTGGCTAATTCTAGTACTGTGTGGTTTCAAATATCACCTGCAGTTTAGACCAGGCATGTTGATTAAGTGAGCCTGCCTAGGATGTCATAAGACAAAAACATTTTTTAATCTTTTCGGTACCTGGTATGTGCTGGGTGCTATCTAGAATGGACACTTTATTATTCAGTCTGCATCCATACCCCCCAAAGAGAGCTTCTGAAGGTAGTTTTCCCTTCTATTTTGTAGAGCAGGATGTGTTCAGAGACGTTGCTGATTTGCTTGAGCGTGCACAGGAAGAGAGCGGTTTCAGACTGCGGTCTCCTGACTGCTGACATAGCAGATGGGTCTGCTTCATAAAGCCTGTTCTCATCAACTGTGTCCAGTGGACCCTTCTGGCCTGCTCTTCCCACGAGGCTGTCGTCAGTCATCACCACTGCACTTGACTTTAGCTTGTCTCACAGTCCCTATGAATTAGTAACAGACTCCAGAAGTTTCTGTATTTTGTCACCTAAACTTGGTTTCTCAGACTCAGACTGTGTGTTGCTCTTGGATACGGCATACCCAACTCTGTCTGGGTAGGTGTGCTGACTTGGAGCGTTAATAGCACCCCAGTTGTACATGCTGGACCCACACCACTTACACCTGCTTCCAGGCAGCCTGGTGGCTCTGTCCCAACCTGTGACAATCAGATAAACTTATCATCCAGCCAGGGCCCAGAGAAGGATGGACAGGCCAGGTCTGACATCTGTCTCCTCTTCCTAGGACAGGCACTGGATGAGGCAACTTCCAGGCAGTGTAACAAGCACAGGGCTTAGTTGCACAGGCTGGCCTGAGGTCACTGCCCAGTGTGGGACCTGGACAAGGAATTTAATTTACTTAACCTTCCTTACTCTTAAAATAAAGCCAATACAGTACCTCCCTTGGAGTACTGTAGTGAGAATTTGGAGAGCTAGGACTCAGTGCCTGTGAGCTATTACTGTTCTCAGTGCTTCCCGGGCTCCACTGGGTGGCAGGCTCCGCCATCACTGGGTGAGGTGATGTCTGCAGAGAGAAGTTCCATGCTTAGCACCAGGTGAGAGATGGGATGCCTGCTCTCTTCCATCGGGAGTGCCTCCCAGGAAGTACCGAGGAGGCTGGTTCGGTGGGGACTCAGTAACCCTTTCAGATAGGTCAAAGCATTATTAATAGGAGCAACAGGGGACCAAGAAAAAAGGAATATAGTACCTAATGTCCCCCCTCCCCCAAAGGGTCTTCTTCCTAATCCCTGGAACCTGTGAATATGTCGCCTTATATGGCAAGCAAGACTTTGCTAATGTGATTAAGTGAAGGATTTTGAGAGATTGTCCTGGACTATGTGGGTGACTCAATGTAATCTCAAGGGTCTTTACAAGGGAAAAAGATAGGAGAATAAGAATAAGAGAAGGAGGTGAGAGGCTGGTTGAGGGCCAGAGTGAGATTTGAAGGGGTCTCCCTGCTGGAAGGGGTCTGGAGCCAAGGAAGGCAGTTGTCTCTAGAAGCTGAAAATGGGAAGGAACTGACTTCCCCTCAAGCATGCAGAGGGAGCCCGGTCTGCTGACACCTTGATCTTGGCCCCAATAGCCAATGTGTCTTGCCCTCAGCCAGCAGTGTAGGAGGTAATTTCCTCGAGCAACAATGGAGAGCCAGGGGAAGACATGGCGGAATGCTGGACTGGGAAGACAGGTCAGGAAGCTTGCTTTGGCTCTGAATCAAGGGAATAAAACTGTCTTATGAGCAGGGTTCAACAAATGGTGAAGTGTGCTCTGAGGTCAAGTCCACTGACTTGAAATACGTGTTTATGGGTTTTCTGTATTGAGGGACAAGAAGAGAGAGAGGCCTTTAAGAGGAAGTGACTTGGTGGGAAACGAGGGATTTTACCAGGTCTCCTGTGAGGCGGCACCTGTGGGCTGATGGCGCTGGTCCCCATGATCACATACTCGTAGTGGACTCCTGGGTTCGGGTGCTGGTGTATCATCTGAGCACACAAAAGTCAATGTTACTGCACTTGTACATGTGCTCATCCCCTTTCCCGCTAGCTTGGGTTTCAATGGCCTACGTGGCCCTGCTCTTGACCCGTGGGAATGTGGAGTCAGGGGACCACAGTTGAGGCAGCCCCACACATGCCAGGGCGCACAGAGTCCAGCGCTGTACTGCTGGTGCTGGATTCATTTTTCCCATAACTCCTGCTGCCCAATCCTACTAAAGACAGGCCAGGATGCCTTCCAACAAGCCTCAGATCTTTTGATTATCACTTAAATTAAGCACTTTGGTGACACCGTTTGCTTTTTGGGAGACAGATCTTCACAGAATGGAGGGCAGGGAAACACTCAGCATATCACATGATGATTTAAACCCAACCGAAAACAGTGTCGGAATGAACTATAGAATTCATGCATGCACGGGAATTTAAAACGTTTGTTTTTGAAATTGCTTTTGATTTCACTGATTATTTTTTGATCATGCTTGGTCAGAACTGCAAGTAGTAAATGCATGAATAACATGGGCTTACTATACAGCTAAACAGGTGTGTCATTTTCATCTAGTCATGTTAGTACACTTGTGACAGGCTACATGATGTTATTTCTGACAGCTTCTTTTCATTTGTCGAGATTTGATAAATTCCAAGGAGAAAGGCAGGAGCAACTGGAGCAGAACCTGTCTGCTGGCTCAAGTCTTCCTGCAGACACCATGGCTTAGCTCAGTGCCCTGGAAATGTTACATGTAACATGTTTACACTGCAGGGAACCCATTTGAACACTAGGTGGCACAACAGAGTCACACAGCAAGGACAAGACCTTGTTGGCAGGGCTGGCCTGGACATCAGGCTCCTTTATTAACGTCTTCTTGTCTCTGGAGGCTGGCACAAGGTCTAACCCTTGTGGGTTTTCCAGGACCCACTTGTTTTAATTCAAGGAAAGCCCGAGAACCACAAAGAGATGGGGTCAGAAAAAAAGGTATAAGAAAAGTCTCTGTGGGTCATGTCTCAGGAACCAATGACAGAAAAAAAAAAAACCAAAAAACAAAAAAAACCCAACAGGACAGCAAACAGGAAGCTGTGTAGGGCTGTGGAAGTCAACAGCTGAACAGTGACTGTATCCTGACAAAGACTCAGGATACACGAGCAAGGCCAGCCACCGCCTACTGGCTCTGCAGCACAGGTCCTTCAGGCCCATGGCTGTCATGGTGAGGGGCAGGGCGGTGGGCCACACCAACCAATAAAGGAGAAGCTATAGTGTAAATAGGAGCCAAGCCAGGAGGTACTGTCATGTTTTGAGATTTCTGTCCATTGCTCTACACAGTGGCTCTCATAACTCAGAGCAAGTCTCTGGATCCCACATTTGGAGAAGGAAGAAGTTAGAGTCACAGCTGGTTTCTTAAGTCCTGTTGACCTACAAGCATCTCTGAGCCACCCCTAGCCCCACATTAGGGAGTCCTGTGTCTGTTCTTGTCATTCTTGTCATCATCTGTGTCCCCTTCCTTTGGGTGAGACGGGTCTCCATCTTATGGATCACCCAGAGGTAGGCAGCTACACGATGGCCTGGGCTCCTTCTGCCAGAAACCAAGCCTAACTCATGGGCCTCGTGGAAATGTGTGGCCAAACACAGAGCCCTCGAGAGACACAGTTGTGTGATCTCAGGTTCCTGCTGTCTATCCAGTCTCCTCAGCTCCTTTCACACAATCTGTTACTCCTTCTGTCCCTCTCCCCCACCAATTCTGTGTGAAGGAAATGTACTGGATTCTGCCAGTTTATGAAATTATTGTTGGCCCCCAAGCTGGACCACCCACAGTAGCCTTTCACAAGCTGAGCTTTACCTCTGACACCATTCAAAATTTACCCGGAGTCAACCAACCAAGTGGACAGCCTTTTAAAAAAAACCACCCAAATTAACTCTAACAAGGCCTCCTTTGTAATTTCTAGTCCAGGGCACCCAAGAGGAACAGACCCAGAGCAACTGTAGAATTGGAGAAGTAATCACCAGGCAATTAATATTTCCAAAACTCTGACACACAAACGTCACATCGACCAGCATGGCTTTGGTGATGGTAAGTGTATTTACCGGTGAGCTCATTCTTTTTACCCAAATGTTATTTTAGGCTTTTATTTCATGTCACACTTTATTCCCTGATCTTTTCAGAAGAGCAGATTCTAGTGGTTTCTTTTAAAAATAGAGACCATTTTTAACTCTTGGGCAATTTAATATTTTGGTTTCAAGTAAAGTAATTCACAGTTCTCTCTTCTGTGAGGCAGGGAACATCTAGTATAGGTTGACATTGTCATTCAGAGCTTCATGATTTCATCTGGTGTTGCCTAGTGTGCTTGTGCCTTCCTCTGTGATTCTGGAGAGAGTTAGGATATGAGCCATCTTGTCTTGATCTTGGCATTTACTTTTTTTTGTGTGTGTGACATAAAAAGAAATCACACCAAATTAGTATTAAGAGGAAAGGGCCTGGAGGAAACCCAGTGCTCATAAAGGATATGTTTGCCTGTGATTTGGTTCAACAAGTAAAATTGGTTTTACTGGGTCAATAAACTCTGAAGGTACAAGCATCTGGAGAGCTTAAGATCTCTGTGTGCGAGGTATGGTCAGAGGTAGAGGACACAGATGAATGCCAAGCACTGAAGGGGTACCCCAAATGGGCCCTGCTGATGAGTTTACTGAGCCTGGGCAACAATTTGTTGCTTGTTTGTTCTAAGTGTGCTCCTTGGGACCCACAGGACACAAAATCCAGAGAACAGTCCAGAAACATCCAAACTCACATAGACATCCAGGATCTCGTTAGTGGGACCTTCTGCCAGAAAGGACTCCCCAGCTGTGCTGGAAATCTCGTTTGGACGCTTGTAGATGAACATGGTACCTCCACCCTCGTACCTCCCGGGACGGTCAATCGCCCAGTTCCCATTGATGATGGAGCGGCCAGAGCGACTTCGCAGTGCTGTTAAGACAAAGCAGGAGGTTCCTTGGTGAGCTCAGGGCTGCGAGAGAAACCCACTGACTCCCCCAGGGTGGTCTGACCTCCATCCAGTCCTCACCATAACCTGCCGTGTGCCAGGCTCTGACCGGGGCCCTGCGAGCTTGTCCCCTAGGGATCCTTCACCTCTCCAAGTCCACCCCGTTCCCTTCACCTCTTGGACTTAGCACAGAAATGAAGGATGGGTGGTTAGCAGAAAAGGGTTGGAGAAAACCAAAGGGAAATAAGTTAGGAGGAAGAAGAGGGGGAAGGGAAGCTGATTTGTATCATACGTCATTACTAAGGTGAGAGTTGTGCACTGGCAGCTCGCAGGCTGACTTTGGCTCAGAGATGGGCTTAATTTGGCTTTTGTAGTGTGATTTTTTTTTAAAAGAAAAATAATTGAGCCTAAGTTTAAAAATTGGGAGATTTCACATAAAAACTTTAGAGTCCCAGCTTTTCTTGTAAACCAGGAGGACATGTTAACATTGGCTCCACATCCCCTCACAGCAGTGAGCACCTGGAGCTCAGGAGGACTGTCTTTTTTTATGGGGAACTGGCATGCTCTGATATGCCCCAGTCCCATCACTCCCTGTTATCCTTCAACCCTGAGGCTAAGCCTCAGTTACTATGCATTTGTTTATGAATATGGATGGTTTCTGGACTCTGTGCACATTTGAGCGTGTAGCTGTGTTAGATACTTCCACATACACTGTCACCTGGAATCCTTAAGATCTTGCTAAGAAGTTATTATTATCCTCATTCTTTAGAGATGTAAGGGAACTTGTTCAAGTCCATTAGGACTGTAGGTGACAGATGTGGCTTTGGAGTCCACATTCAGGAGGAGATGAGGCAGGAAAAGAGGTCGGTAAGGAACAGGTGTTGGGGTTAATAGGAGAGGAAGGGCAGTATCTGAGAACAGGTTTTCTTCAGATACAGCTGAAAGCATGGCCAATGGCAGACTGGGCTTAGAGAAGGTCAAATTTAAATGCCATGTGTGTATGGACCAAGGGCTCCCTGTCCCTTCTCTTTACAAAATATGTAAATTTGACTTCCTATAATTTATTACAGAAAAATTTACCCACAATCAAAAGCAGAAAGAACAGTATGATAAACCCCCATCACCCATCACCCAGCTCCAACAATGATCAATCCATGTCTTCTCTTGTTTCATCTTGCAAATCCCAGCCACCACTTATTCTTAATTTTTGTACTTGATATAACAAAAACATAAGGACTCTTTTTGTTAAAATCTTAAACCCATTTCATTAGTGTTTCTATGATGGACCTTGCCAGAGAGACCAGTCCTGTGTAGACAGAAGCTTCGAGAAGCGACAGAAGTCTCCACCCTAGGCATCTTTCTCCTGCACACTCCATCAGTGGCTGGCTGGTTGCCATGGCTACAGGGGGGAGCACAGCTGGGGAATTTGAATACTGACTTGCAACATCAGTTCTGCTTATTGAGTGACAAAGACGAGTCAAGGGTAGAGTGAGGAAGAACAGGTCAGGAGATTTTTTTTTTTTTAACTAAAAATATTATTGAAGTATTACATTTCTTGAGAGTGGTCCATTGCCTTACTTCCCACTAATTCCTCAACTGTCCCCTTGCCTGGCTCCTGCCGTCATCATTCCACTAGAGAAATTCAAATCAACGTCACAAGGACTCCATGCCGCTAAGTGCCATGGCACCCTCCATGCCTGCTCCTGCTAGACAACTGGCAGCACTGGCACTGCTTCTTTCTATTTGAAACCTCTCCCACTTGCTCCCAGGACCTGATCTCAGCTTCTTTCCACTGTTCTCAGGATGGCTCATCTCTGTTTTCTCTTTTTGCTTCATCTTTCTCTATGCAGCCATTAACTGTTAAAGTTTCTAAAGATTAAGAGTTGACCAGCTGTGGGCATGAGCGACTTCATCTATGCCAGGGCTTTAATTACTATGTGCCAGTGGCTTCTAAATTAATTTCCCAACCCAGACTTTGTCACTTGCCCCAGGCTTTCATAGCTAATTGCCTACGGGACAGCTTCACTTGGATGTTTCCTTTAACACTGAATTGACCCCCGACCTTGTTCAGTGTTTATCTTGGTACATGTACCATCATTCATTCAATCAGAAACCCAGGAATCAGCCTGGACACACCCTCGCACTTCATCCTCTGCACCTAATCTATCATCAAGTTGTACTTTTCCTCCTCTGTATTTCTTGAGCCTATCTGCTACTCTTCATGCTCGTAATTCAGAACCATGCCACCATCAGATCTTGTCTGACGAGTTCAAGAACCTTCTGATTGCTCTTCCTGTTTCTCTTCTCAGTCATAACAATTTGTTTCGGAACGCAAATAAGATCACCAAACACGGCTCAACTCCCTCAATGGCTTTCTATTGCTCAGGGGCAAAGAAGAACAAGCCCAATCATTTGTTGTACCAGGTGATGTGGCCTTAACTGTGTCACTGCCCCCCGTCCCTCTGTCCTCTGCCCCCCAGAACACATCATGCTATCTTCATAATGCTATATCCCTTCTTCCAGGAATGCTTTGCCCCACTCCAAATCCTACTCATTCCTTCGATGCCAACTTTCCCGGGACGTCCAGCCTGTTTCTTCCCTCACATGCCGCTAAGAGACGCCAGAACCTTCCTTCAAGGCCTTTGACTCAGTCTGCATACACACCCGTCCGGAAAATTATTTGATTGACTTTGTCTACCAGTGCACCGTGAGCACCCTAAGGGCCAAGACAAGGGTGATTGTCCACCCTTGCAGATCTGGGTCTCAGCCACGCGCTCACCGCAAAGCAGGAACGTAATACACATTTGCTGATTGCAAGAATACTTGGTAGAAAAAGGCAAAGTGCTCTAGAGAAAGGCAGGCAAATTATGATAGATGACAAGACAATTCACAGAAAGACAACCACAAGTATTCTGTAAGCAAATGAATTACTCTACCTTACTTAAAATTTAATAAATGCAAATGAGATATTTTTGACCTACCAAAATGGCCAACATAAAAAAAAATTCAGTGTTACTAGTATTGCCAGTGTTACCTGGTGTGTGAGCAGTCAGTCCCTACAACAGGGCTGGTGAGAATGTAAACCCATTTGGACACATTGAAGGGCGATTCGATTACAGTGTTAAATCTTTCACTGTCTAGACTCTTTGCCCCAAGAATTCTACTTCTGAGAAGCTGCTTGAGCAGTAAACTTGTATAATAGACAAAAGTGCTTGTATTGAAGATAGTCCCTGGAAATTTTTTTAAATAGAGAAAAACAAAAACAAGCTTAAGTGTCCGTCAGTAAAGGATTATTTAAGGAGATTTTAATACTGGCTACCACACAGTGGAAGACTCAGTGGCCCTAAAAAAGGATGAGAGCAGTCTGTGCACATGGAAGAACTTCATATACATTATTGAACCATGTTGAATCACAATTTTTTAGTGACACAGAAATGCAGAAACACATTTGGTATGATCCCATTTGTGTATACCTTAAATATCACCATACACACCAAGTATGAACATAAAACGACTGAGAAAAGTCCAGTCATAAAACGGCCAGCATTTGGTGACAGGAGCTGGGACTTAGTTTGGGATGAGAGATGAGAAGGGAGACATCATTTATCATTTTATCTTTCTTCTACCACTTAAAATTTGCTTCACCATATGTACGCACTACCTTCATTAAGTTAAAAGTTTTTAATTAATATAAAGGGCGTGGTGCCAGCAGAAATTCCCCTGCGGGTCTACACATCCCCCATCCCCCCCCCCCTTTTACAGCATCTCCTTAAAATCCCATGCACAGCATCAAAGCTCAGAACTGAGGTGGTTTCTGGCTAACATTTTATTGCTGAGAATGGCAATATCTGGAAACCCAAAGTCCATTAAAGAGCCATTTGAGATAGCGCACAGGAGAAAGCTGCAACAGCTACCCCAAGAAACAAAAGATGGGGTCCCTGAGTCTTTTTTGTAACCGTTTACTACCACCCCCTCTAAAGATTTAGATGAACCTTCAACCGTCCAATAGCAAATAATTGGAAAACTTGTGAGATTTTTAGCAAATGTGGTCCTAACTCTGTACGCTCATGGCTTCTGCCGGGCTAGAACCCAGCCCCCTCCTGGCCTTGCATATAGAAAACAGCTGTGCCTACGATTTATGCGCGTGTAAGCAGTTCCAGGCCTGGTAATGGTGTCCAGAGCTACCCACAAAAGGTGCAGGTGGCTCGAGGCTCCTGCTCGAGAGTGTGTTCAGTGAAGGCCAAACTCTGGCATAGCCGGCTTGAAACGAAACCGCACAGCGGTGTCACCATGAGGAAATCTTCACTCTTCCTCAACATGGCGTTTTATTCCAGTTTTAGAAGTTCGAGCTAGTTACATTTTTGGCCTAAACTATGTCAGCTAACATGGCCTTCTCCAATACACAAATACCTTCTGTACCCAAGCCCTGATTCTCATGCCCTCACTTTCACAATCAAGCCCAGGCTGGCCTTGAACTCTTGATCCTCGTGCCTTAGCCTCCGCAGTGCTGAGATTACAGGCAATGTTGCACCACACCTGGCTTGCTCTCACAGTCTTAATGTCCACTGCTGAGGTGAGCAAAGCCCTTGCTCATACAGCCAAGCAAAGAAGGTGACTTCCTTGCGATAAAAAATCAGCGTGCTCTTGATGTCTGATCCTTCCTTTGGAAGACAAAGTTAAGTTCATCCTAGCTGCAAAATGCCAAGCAGATCCACTGGGGAAGCAGCAAAACAAACCCAAGTCCAAGGTGGCCAGACACCATTGGCCACATTTTCCTTAAATGCCATTTTTATTGCCACCAGCCTCCAAAGGAAATTCACTTTTTCCTTCTGTTATGAATGGAACAAACCACGATAGCACCCAGCACTGTGACTATGTCACCAAATTCATCATGTGTGTGGGCTGGGGCTTAAGTCGTAGAGCACCTGTCTAGCAAGCGTGAAGCCTGAGTTCAAACCCCATGCCACCAAAAATAAAAACAACAAGCAGAAGTCATATACGAACTCACATGACTTGCAGGTGCCACAGATATTTGGGAATATTAGTTAAAACTCTGGTGCCTGAAATTATAGCAATCTGTACATCTCTAGGGGATCTCTGATTTTAATGTTAAAAATTCATGTTATTATACTGAAAAATACTTTTTAATTTTTTATAATTATGTGTCAAAATGATACCCTTCTCTTCTGTACTTTAGTTCATACATTTGAAAGATTGTCCCAAGAAGGGATCTGGATATTCACTCCTATTTGAGAATTCTCATCTTAGAAATGTCCCTTGTCTTCCAGACCAAAACAGTAAACACATGCAGTGATGCATTAAAATTCTATTTAAAAGTATCAAGCTCTCTCTTTCTTTTTTGGTGGCACTGGGGTTTGAACTCAGGGCCTTGGCAGACGCTCTACTACTTGAGCCACATCCCCAGTCCTTTTGGCTTTTTAGTTTAGTTTTTCAGACAGAGTCTCCTATTTCTGCCCAGGGCTGACCTCAGACCACGATCTTCCTTCCTCTGCCTCTTGCAGAGGCACAGGTGTGCCTCTGGGATTACAGGTGTGCACCACCACACCCATCCATGGCTTCCTTTTTGATTAAAAATTTGTTTAAAAAGCAAACAAACACATCTTCTTAGGAAGACCAGGTCAAGTACAATAAAATGTCCTGATTATGGTTTCTGTTAAACAAGTATTCACACATCACACAGTAATGTTTTACTTCAGATTCACTTTGGCATTCTGACTTTGAGTAGGCTCGAGCCTGTGTGATTTTCTACCACAAGATGCAACACACTTGGACTGGGAACCAGAGTGTCAGAGAGGAGGCTGTCTTTCTTCTGGGCATTGTGCAGCCTCAGGTTGTGGGGTCTGATGAAGGAGAACATCAACACTCTGCTCTTAGTTTTGCCGAATGACAGCTGAGCATAGCTAATGCTCATTCTTTAACCTATTACAGCTTTGATTTGACTCCAAATTTCCTTTGAATCCTTACTTTAAAGAAAGGTTGTGTTTGTAATCCTCAAATAAGGCCGTATGAAACGATCCCACCCATGGTTAAGTAACAAAAGAAGCTGGCAAAGCACTTTTTGGGGGGGGCCGCATGACTCTGGGAGCTCCAAGTCCCTTGGGCCCAGGACACCATGCAGAGAGGCCGTTCACATTTCCGGGGAACAGAGGCTCTCAGGAGGGGGCGTTTAGGCAGGGATCTCGCCAGACAGAGGGCAGAGGACACTGGGGACAGAGAACAGCAGGGACCAAGGTGGAGGCAGGAAGGAGTGTGGCACGGGAAGGGATGTGAACTGGAGGAGGGGAGTCTCGGGTATACAGTGAGGGTCCGGGGAGGTGAAGAAGGAGGGGAGACCTGGGCAGACCACAAAAGTTTGACTGTGGGTGCTGGGGAGCCATGGGTGGTGCCTGTTCAGAACAGTGGCAGCTGAGATCTGGTTTCAGGAGCCAATGGTGGCTGCTAAGTGGGAAGAGGGATAGCAAATGAGGTCCAAAGGTTCATTCACAGCATAAACAAGCTCTGAAATCTTCCACATCCTCTCCCCACCCGGGACAGCCCCAGCTAAGGCCGCACTCTCCTTTTCAAGCAGGAAAGGTCATGGCCACCTTTAGAAGGAATTCCAGGAGGAAAATTCCATCCGTAGCTCAGTTCACTGAGCAATAAATCCAACATCTTTCTCGCCCCATCCTGATGCCTTCAATTCATAGCGCAAAAATTTAAAACACTAAACCGTGTGTGGTGGCACACGCCTTTAATCCAAGTGTTCGGGAGGCTGAATTTCTCTGGGTTAGGGGCAGGATGAATCTTTACAGCTAAATTCAACTTTGATCTCCAAATTGGTGGCAAAGGTTGCAGTAGTAAGGCTTAGCATCCCCGATGGGATCCTGGTTGTCATGGTGATGGGAGAGGACTGCGGACTGTTACAAAGCCCTCCATAAATCCTTGTAGCATAAATGCGTCCATGCTAAACAGGAGACACCGAGCATGACATTAATAAGGATAAGATTCTGTAAGCCAGGCTGTCTCCTTACAGAACCAGGAGGCCACATGGGGGAGGCTGAGGCCGTGGGGGTGCGGGAACCTCGATTCAGTGGCCATCAGAGCCCTTGGAGAACAAGGGCAGAGCAGTTCGTGAGGGACCAGAGTAAAGGGCTCTGCTGGACCTTGGACCAGGACATCTGTCACCTGCACGGGCTGAGTCTTTTTAACTAAGCTTTCCAGGTTGCCTTGGCAGGAGAGAGTGGACTGCCTCAGTATTGACCAGGGGATTGACAGTGACCCTAGGGTTAGGCTGACTCAACAGTTAGTTTCACAGACAAATCTGCAATCTTGCAGGAAAATACCTGATGCTCCTCCAGGCTGGATTGATCAGACAAGGTTTCTATGTGACAGAGGACACTTTAGAATGGTTTCTAAGTCAGGTCTTTATTTTAGATGGCAATGTTAGTAAGTTTCACTGATATTTTTTCTAACTGTTTTATATTAGGTCTTTTAGTTCCTTTTAGTGTTAGAGATTCTCCCTGACTCTACCTCCTACCTATCCCTCAACCATGATCCTCCTACTATGCCTTCATGTAGCTTGGATTACAGGCATGTACCACCATCCCCAGGTTGTTTATTGAGATAGAGTCTTGCTAACTTTTTGCTCAGGGTGGCCTTGAATCACGATTCTCCTGACCTCTGTCTCCCCAGTAGCTAGGATTACAGGTGTGAGCCACCACACAC